ATTAACCTATCATGCAAATTGAAAGTACATGTATATGAAAGATGGTGAGCGTGTCAAGTGTGTTGCCGGTCAGTTCCGTTGTTTGAGCAGTATTTGGACAGTTCTTTAGAACATGCTGCTGGAAAACTTCACCTTGCCGAGTTTAAACCGTTGCAGCGTTAGGCTATTGAAGCATCTGTATGCGGGCTTGACGTTTTCGTCTCTACCCACGGGATATGGTAAGATTGAGCTCCATATTTCAAGCACTGCCATTTTGCTTCGGCTTTAATCAACTGCTAGTAATACTCCAACATCAGCCCCATCCCTACCAACAAGCATTCATAATTGTCATCTCGCCGCATACTGCCCTCATGAAAAACCAGATAGAACATTGCGTAAGCTTTGGAGTTGATGCCGTTTATTTCGGAGACTCATCTGCTTCAACTATTTACAAGAAATTTATGAATAATGCATATCAGAAAGCTTAGGAATAATTCACCACGAAAACCTCAAAGTCAAGTTGGGAAAGGCCTCATGGCTGTGCCACTCGCCTGGTCTCCTGTCCAGTCGCTTTGCAGTCACGTACACAGCCACAAAGGCCTTGATGAAAGGCTACCGTTTCAGGCACCTGGCAAACCTGGAAATGACATCGCGCGCAAGTGCTATGGGAAAAAAGGCCGCCGCGAAGCTGCAGATTTAAGTCCTGACAGATATCACTTATATATCCTAAATGAGACTGATCTGAAAAATTGAAATATAGGCTACATGCTGTATGCATGATACTTCATACTTAGAAAGCCCCTAAAGGCCATTTTATGGAGTCAATTCTGAAGATTCTGAAGACATTTCATTGTTCAGTCCATTAACTGCATAGCTGCAACCATCACGCCATGCCACGCCAGGCATGCCAGGCAAAAACATGGTGTTCAATACCTTTAGCACCCTGTTCCTATAATAAGGAAACAAATTCATCTAAACAAGCTGTTGGTGATGTCCAGTTTCATATCAGAATGAAAAGAGAACAGGGCTTTTGGTTTTTGAGGGAAATTTTGGGATAAAACAGCAGTGTACATGAACCCCTGCCCCGAAGAGTTTTGAACGACAAATTAGGGAATGTGGTCTGGTTCCTCGACCTGGATGGAAATTTATTTTGATGAATTTACAATGCCCGAGTCAGATAATTAGATGAGAAACAAAATAGCGTGATCTGACTGACATGACTGAGCGGTTGTCTTTTGCCAAACTTGGATTAGAAATTTGTCTTTTTCTTGCTTATTATTGGCCTAGATTTTTTAGGCAAAATTTACCTGAACTAGGTTTTCTGGCCTATCAGGGTTGAATAATGGTTCCTTCAGATCAAAATGTAGTTAGTTTGAGAACGTGGACTTCGTTTCCTTATTGTTACTACACTGATAACGTTACCGTACTAGTCATGCTAGTGCTAGTAAAGTAAAGGTAAGCTGGCCTAATATTCATGGAGGTACATGTAGCTACCTCCATGATAATGTGAACACCCAAAACATGACCGTCTCCTGTTTATTTATGAGACACAGGCTCAAAGAGGATACTTGCACTTGATGCGTACTTTCTTTCCAAGTCTGTCGTTGCACGTTATCTCAATCATTTTGTTATTCAATGTGAGTATTTCGGCTCTTTTCTACCGTCAGAGGAAAAAGCTTGGTGAGTTGGTCGATTCAGCCGTGCGTGCATACTCAGTAGTTTATCTAGCACGCCACCAAAAGCCAATTAATTTTTCCTTGGCCTTTGGTGCAGCTAGCGCTAGAGAGGGCGCATTCAACTTTGCGGCTAGACTGGTTCCCGTCCGATACGTAGTAGTCTCCAGACGTCTTCTTACAGACGTTCAATGAAGCGAACAAAAAGGGTGCAGACCACCGTAATTCAAACGGTGAGAATTTCAAACTAGCTCATTAGCCTTAAAAGTGCCCCCCACAGTATCTTTTGAAAAAGGGGATTGTTTGGCCCCCGAAATGGTGACATTGTGTAAATTGCTACCAGGATGAACTCCCTGGGTCTTTAAGCTTTTGTATGAGAGCTGAATGGCTAAAAACTACGGTTGAAAAATGGTTGTAAGCGTTTCAGAAAGTTGAGGGTTTCCACTTGAAAAATGGCCGCAATTGGACTTCGGGAAAAGTCACTTTTCGGGGGGGGGGGTGATTTTGTTTGTGGGAATAATTAATAAATAAATTTAATTGGCAAACTCACAAAAAAATGAAAAGAAATTGAAAAATTAGGGACTAGACAATAATTCCATTGGTGTTTCTGAAATCTTAGGCATGTTGGAATGCATGTTATTGGGCCCTGAACCCGCGCCCCGGTGCTGACTCTGTTTTCAAATGGACTGTACCCGTAAGGGACTGCCGAGCAGCCGGCAGAATCCCCAGTGTCACTGGCTGAGTTTTATATAAAAGAGGAAACGATGCTCGCTCAAAGTACAACCCAAGCCGGGATTTTGCCTTTTCTTCTTTGTTAGGGAAAATTACTTCGCCATAACTTGTTTATTTATTCGGAATTTAATACGATATACACTGATTTCAAATAAATTACCGTAATATCATTTGTCGATGGTAATTATGTGGCGGTTCAGCTCAGGCTCCCGGCATGATGTTGCAACGTAGTGAAACGATACGGTTGGCTGCAGCTGCGGCAAGCAGAAAGCAGGCTTTGCATGGTAGCCATGTCGAAGGGCTGTTCTTTTAAGTTGTTCCGCATATGGAAACCTCCTTTGTGCGTACTCTGTAGAACAAAGCACTACAAGTAGCTGCTAGATGGCATCCATGCAAACCTTACTTTTTGCCAATGACGCAAATGCTCTGCTGTTACAAAAAACAATGAAACCTTTTCCCCGTGCAATGCATTATGAGTTTGGATGACAAACAGGCAATGCATTCAATAGAGAAGTGTACCTGCTTGTCTACATTTCACTACATACTCCAATTCAACATACTCCAATTCAATAAAGATATTCACAAACTTCCAATTTTAAAGCTTACCACAAAAAGAAAATTCGGAAAATTCCTTCCAAGGGCACACCTGTCGGGACCGTGCTTGGACTAAGATTAGTGGCCATTCAGAATGACGACAAAGTTGTAGTTCATTTATACCGCATTGTCCAGTCACGTCCGTCCATTTCAGCAATTAATTGAAATGTGATTCAGAGTGATATTATTTTTGTCTTCTCCCAAACATTGCAAAATTTACTTTTTTACTGTTTTGAAAACGTTTCTTGTATACTAGTACTATGCAAGTATCTGTAAGGTGATGAGCAGATACTTAAACATTTCGGAGAAAACTGTAAATTGATTTCTGATTGGTTCGCTTCCCCCAGTTTATCCATAAAATGCATAGCTCACCAAAGTCCCACAATGCATTGCGAACGTCGAAAGGGTTGATTAAAAAAATACCCTATATCCTTCAAACTCGCGCAGACTAACACCTAAAATATCTACTTTTTGTTCATGCATGCTTGCTATTTCTGACACATGAGGGTATATCTCAAGTTCCAAAACAATATCTCCAGAAGTTTGAAGTTTATGTCCTCCTTCAAGAGGACTTAAAAGCCCAAATGGCAGTTGCTTCGTGAAGACTGCAACTCAAAACAAAACCCCTTTTGAACAATTATTTGTTCCGAGGAAATCCTATCAACCGAGTATCGCACCAAGCCTGCCTGGGAGTGAAACTTACTTCACACCTGTCGTGGAATACGCATGTCAATCAAATACATGTTGCCACAAGCCAACAGCCCTTTTCCACCCACGTGACTGGACCGCGCTGAATGTAAGTACCACCACGTGTGGCCATGGTCACGGTAATCACACATACGGGCAGCTTCAACCACGTGCATGCATGCACAAGCGCACGTGCGAACGCTGCATGCCTCACTAGTTCATCTTGAAAAAGTAGATTACCATCACAACTCATTGCGGTCCAGCACAAGTGTGACATCACAAGAAAAAGGTCTATAGACATGGGCCTTCTGCGGAGAAACCTGCACAGCCGTGATAAGGAATCAAAGCACTTGTTTGGCTATACAGTACTAACGCGTCTTGCTTCTAGAGTGTTGTCTTGTGGTTGGTTTGGGACCCTTGGCAGCAGAAAAAATAAGGGTACAATTGAGAAAGTTCAACCTAGAGCTGCACGCTTTGCACGCAACAACAACGCGCCTAACAGCGAGTGCCACCGATGTAATGTCACAACTGGGCTGGGAAAGCCTTGAAATCAGACGAACCAAAGCTCGCCTTCCTATAATCTACAAGGAAACACGTGGTCTGTTACCAAGCAATACGTATATTTCACATTTGCTGAGAAATCGTGGAGAAGTTAGATCATCCCTGAAAAGACCCACTGCAAGACAATCTGTAAAGCACTTCATTTATGATCACATCAGAGCAATTAAGAAGTGCTATCAACGGTCCCTACATGCCAAGGCAGTCTTCCTGATGAAGCACGTTGTGCGCAATCGTTAGAGAAATTAAAAGATCATCTGCAAAGTAGCGAGCTGCCACTGCAGTCTTTGTACAAGTAAGCCGTGTCTGATCGAGGAGGAAGGAACCTTCCTTCATGGTCCGATCAAGGTCCGACCGCATGCATTGCACGGAAGTTGTAAGGGCTAGCCCTACCAGGCCTATGTATACTAGTGAACAGATACAGACGTCTAAGAAATGTGCTCTCTTTTGAGACTGCTGTCAATTCCAATGGTTCCCAAAGAGCGGAGTACACACCATTGTAGAAAATATGTCATTTGGACAAATATAGAAAGTATGTCATTTGGACTAATATAATAGTTAATCAGGAAGAAAATGGCAGCCCAGTGAACTGAATTCCATTTCAGAAAAATTCCAAATCTAGCCCAAATTCTGAATTTGAGAGCTTGGGCTTGAGACAAAAAATAATTATGAGCCCCACCAGAAAAACAGCTTTTGAGAAGTGAATAATTCGTGAGGTCAAAAGCAATCTTCAAAAAACCCGAAGTGTGGGGAATGACACACAAAAAATAGTTAAAATAATGCTAAATTGGATAATTTTAATTTAAAACCAGCAAAACTTAATACAGCCATATTCATGTAATATTTACAGATTATCAGTGGTATATAAAAAGTTTGATTACAAAAGTACACTGTTGCTTAGTTTATAATAGAGTGGCTTTGATTATATTCTTTATCTATAATTAAACAGGAGTTGGAGTGGTCAGTTCTAGTCTCCATACATGTTCTAGTTTTGAAACAAATGCAACTATCAAATGTCAAGTGTTGTGAACACTAAAATGACTGAAAGTTCAGAAATACTCGTGCAGATGTGATTTTCTTCAGGTACTTCAGTAATTCAGAATGTCAAACTTAAATAACAAGCAAACGTCCAAAACATCCTGTGTGGGCAAGGGTCAAGCTTTATATAACATTCTGCCACTGTGCTTTTTCTGTCTACGTTTGCCTCCAGCGCCCAATTTCACAGTGCTGCTAAGCACACGATGTTAGGGTCACAGAGGCTCCACAATTTCACGGCTACCATAAGCTGTAAGCACAGCAAAAGGCATGCTTACCTAAAAGGAAAATTACGTTCTGACAAAACGATGGAAATCTCTATGTGTGTGCAACCCTAAGCACAACCACAGCAAGCAACGACACCAAATACTGCTTACGGTTAGCAGAGTTTATGCTGTAGTAAGCACTGCCTTTTTTGCTGAAATTGGGCCCAGTTTCTAAAAGCTTGCAAACAATTCTTAAAGCAATCCAATCAGATGGCAACAACTTGCAGAAAAAAAACGATCTTCCATCTACGTGTATTAATTTCGCTTGTTTGTTTGTACATATGTAATTACATGCATTAAAGTAAAGGATATTAATATGAAATTTTGTAGGATTTAAGTGGAATTCCGTCAGTTCAATCAGACCTGGTCAATCTATATTTCAGGATGAGCGCTTTATTTGCCAAAGGTATGTTTCTAGGGTATTTTTGAAGCCATTTCGGGAAGGCTTGCCCTTTTGATGCAGCGCCTGGAGTTCTTCATCTTCAGATGTGATAGGATGCTGCACATCATGCCCTTGATCCATACTTTATCAACTGATCTAGGTCTCTACAGGGACCACGTTCTTTAATGAAACAAACAGAACGTAACGGTGTTAAGAAATGATTTTCTTCTCTGCACGTTACAATGAATAATGCAGAAGGCGTATCACAGCTCATGACGTATGCTGATAAATGAAGTATTCAAAACAAGCAAAACTGTTCCTTTCGTCCGAGTGGGCACTCCATGAAAAGCATTGCCTCAACTATTGGCCTTGGTGTAGTGCTCTTCAGCGAATCTTTGCCTTCTTTGGTGGGGAGCCTGCCGCTGGAGCACCAGGCTCAACTTTGACCTTCAACCCTGGATTGGTCTTGCTCAGCCAGTCTGTCATGGCTGTCCGCTTCCGTGGCGATGATCTCAGGCCTTGCTCTTGCTTCCGTGGTGATGACCTGAGCACCTTCTGGGGAGAGGACTCCACTTCCAGTTTGATTTCTTGCTTGACCTCTTGCTTGGTGTCCTTGCTCGGGGAGGGCTTGGCACCTTTGGCCAGCCAGGCGCCCATCATTTTACTGCTGGCTGTTTGTTTCTCAGGCTTCCTGTGGCGGCAAAGTCAATATAAAGAATATAATACCAAGCATGTCACTTTTGACCAGCTTAAACTTGAGAGTTATCCAAGCACAGTTACGATTGTGAGACACTGCGTTAGATGAAGCCTAACCCCACTGATTTAAAACCTGGGCATCTGCGGCAAGAGGTCAAACCAAACAACTGACATACAGACTTGCTGAGCTACATTATACACAGCACGCAGGGAACATTGAGAAATTATTGAGATGTCCACAAAAACTATAAACTATCTTTCTGAAATATTTACAGGAGAAGGATATTTACCCCACAAAATCTGTTTTGGGGAAGTATACTTTGTTTCATCAAATTCGATGAGTATACCCAGGTCACCCCTAATGGATAATTTCAGGGTCTGAGAAAATTGTCAGTTTTAAGTGAAAACTCACCCCACATCAATTGGCACAATGCAGTCTGATCCTTTGTACCTGGAGTTGTTGACCTGAGTTGATACCGGGTGACAGGTCAAGCAGGTCTCTGCCTTAATCAACTCCAGGGCCTGAGATGAGGAAAAGAGATGGGAGGATTCAAAGCGACATATTCTTGGGTAAATATTTTTGGGGTACATGAAATTTCTGAACCGCACATACTCACAAAAGAGATATTCTTGCATGGTGCTACTGTAAACCTTGTACTTAATTTGCCACCTTCACCATGAAAAGCTTCAAAGCTCGTGAGCAGATGTAACACTCACCAATTTCAAAAAATCTGGGGCAATTTCACTTCGTGTAGCCTTCAAAGTCTTTTAGTGCTAACTACGGCTATTCTGCTTATCAGTCTCCAGTGAAAACTCCAGGGGGGATTATTTTGGCATAACAGTCACGCTACATTCCACATTTCCCACTTACCTTGCTGGCGGGCACTGTTCCATAATCCAGCCAGTCATTAATGGCCTGGTCACTCTCGAGTATGGCTGGCATACGGTTATGCAACCAGCTCATGCTAGAGGCCGCTTCCACGGTAATAACAGTGTACGTGTACAGCGGTGGGCCACCCTGTAGCAAGAACATAACGGAAATAATGCTTCCTTAA